TTACAGTACTTGCGTCCTGCGTCCTTGTTTCTGACAGACAACATACATCAATACAGAGGGAATCCAGCGTACGCGCAAGAGCCACCTGTTGACCTGCTTGCTTCAGTGTGCGAACATTGAAAGTGGCTAAGTAGACAGGCTTTCGGGGTTTGAAAACAGACTTCGAAGTGTTTAGGGTTGTAACTGAACTCGGACGTGCAGAAGCTGCAGCTGAAAGTGATGCAGGGCGAGCAAAACGGTCAGTCCTAGAGCTGGGACCTGCGGATAAAGTATTCAAATTTGGGCGAGGGAGGGCGGAAGATGGAAAACGTGAAAGTGAAAGAAGGGAGGCGTCAGCAGTAGCATGTTTTCGCTTACCCGCCCTGCTGTATGCAGCGAGTAAGGTGGCCCGGCTGATGGCACCACGCGACGGCCGATGTGGCATGAGAGTATTGTTAGTTGTGTAGGTCATGGTTGTACGAGGGCTGGGATACTGCCAGGGCGCCCACACCTAGACAGGAGAACGATTAGGGTCCTCAACCAAAGCCTTTGGCTCAAAAGCCTAACCGCAAGGCAGCGGTGTTTGGCGGTGAAATGCAAATGCATTACCTTTTCTACGGAACAAGTCGCCATACATGTTCCAACCCCCAACTGGAGGGCCAGACAAACCGCCACACCACGATAAGGTCCATTCTCTTCGTGACGGCCAGGTTTTCCCTCTAACGGTATTTTCTCAGCTAAGTTCTTGGTCTGAACCTTCCAAGCTAGCGCTTCCGTGAAAAAAAACACCAAGCTGCACAACGTGTATTAGCGCCCAAAACCAAGTCAAAAGCACATACAATCCGTCATATATAAGCTACGTGCGGCGACAAAATTTTGGAAATTATTATGCCTTTTAGATGCGCCATTGACAACCGGCACTCGCCAGATACTTGATCATGATTGGCTGTTGCGTGCAAACATCCGGCTTATCAGAGCCCGCTTTGATTCTGTATCGGTAAGCGACCCAATTTTTTTATTAATCTCGTGTGGGATAGGCTTATTGGCCGTGGTAGCGCCTAAAGGCGAGCGGTGAAGCGGTATCGGTGCGGAGTTCCGCCTAGCAGACTGACCACGCTGTTCACCGTGCATCACACCCCAAACTTTTCCAGATCTGTTTTCAAATTCCGGAAGTCGGTCTACGTAGTTGCCTTCAATGTTCGCACACTGAAACAAGTTGGATAGCAGGTACCTGTTGTTTGTACGCTGGATTCCATTTGTATTGATAAATGCCGCCTCCGCGCGGTTCGCTTGGCAATGTCTGTGGGAGAATCTCGAGTAGGTGAAGTCTACTTGCACCCAAACTGACTGCAAGTCTGAATCTATCAAAGACAGCTTCTATGACGACCTAGGTGATCTCTTACAACGGCCTGAATTCTTAGACATCGTTGTGGTTGGTGGTGACATGAACGCTCACGTGGGTACACTAAGTCGGCTGAGACCCATTTAGGCGTTCTTCCTGGCCCGGATACCAGGCGCACGGACAACAGGGATCGCGTACTTCAGATGTGTGCCGATCATAGACTGCTCCTTTGCAGTATGAATTTCCGGGACAGTGCAAACTGCTTGACAACGTGATGTCCATCAACAAACCAGTCCCGAATCCAAATCGACCACATCGCCGTCAGTTACCGGTGGTGAGGGTTAATCACTGCCTGCCGCTCCTTCTCTAACGCCAGTGCGAATTCCGACCATGTAATCGTGAGATGCTGCTTTTTATCGCACTTTTCGAGTCTATATAAAACGCGCACACCTCGCTTAGCCATCGGGAAGCAAATGGACCTTGAAATCAAACGAAACTTTCAGAACCGGCTCCTCAAACGCCTGTGGGACCGGATGTTAACGGCTACTGGGAACGGACATCCACAGTATTACTCAGCTGGAACTTCCGTTTGCGGTGCAACCCAGCCAACATCCAGACATTGGACCCATGATGGGACCGTGGCTTGGCTGGAGGTCCGGCGACAGATTCCTTCTGACCGCAAATACAACTCAACCAGACGCCTCATCCAACGCCAGATAAAACTGAGTGTCCATGCAAACCGTAAACACTGGACCTGAAGAGTCGGAGAAATGGAAGAGGCAAAAAATGCTGGGAGCGTCTGCAGGCTTGCCACTTGATTTGTTCGATTGGTCCTCGGAAGCCTTTTTCAGTGAAACTATCAGCGACTGGAATGGCTGTCTCATATCCGGCAAAAGAGAGCATTTGGGACACTGGGCATCATCATCATCGACAGCATGACATCAGTGTTCAACACCGATGCTTCACTGCCGTATACTGGGCACAATACTTCGGACAACAATTCAGTTGGCCACCTGATGTCCCCAATCCTGGCTGCCAGCCTTCAATGGAATGGTGGGCTGTGAATATGACAGCCCATTCATTTTCAGATATGTCTGAGTAGACATCTCTACTCAAACGTCATCTTGCTTTTGGCCCTGGCCTTCCACCTGCTGTCTTAAAAGATGGCGGTGAATCCCTCAGTCAGTGCCTGTGTAGCCCATTTGTGTCTGGGAGAAAAAGGCTGTTCCAGACAACTGAGGTGGATGGATGATAGTGCCCATTTTCAAAAAGGGTACTCGCAGTGAATGTGGTGACCACACAGAGGTCGATTTGACTCCCGTTGTAACAAGGCTTCCGGTGTCACTGATTTTTCGGTGTCTTATGACAGCACGCAAATCCTTGGCCCGTGAGCATAGAACGGGATTTCGACCAGGTAGTGTTGCGTTGACCAGATCTTTAAGCTGTCAAGTGTTAGAGTAACGCCATATGAGCATACAACCCACAATCTTGGTATTCATTGAATTCAAGGATGTCTTCGATACTGTCGATCGGCCAGTGCTATGAACCACACTCGCTCAACGGGGTATGTCCCAGAAGTCTGTGAACATCATCCGGTCCCTATATTTGCATACTTCTGGGCATTTGGTGGTGTATGGTGAACTCTCCAAAAGCTCCCTTACAAAAATTGGTGTCTGACAATGATGTACACTCTCCTCATTCTTGTTCAACTCAGTCGATGATGAAATAATGGGAAAAACGCTGGAAGGTCTTTAAAACCTCTGCGTTCACATTGTTGCTGGTATCAAGGCTGTCGATCTGGAGTACGCAGACCACGTGACCCTCATCGTTGAAAACGAACGCGCAGCACTAGCTGTATTGAATAGACTGTTCACCGTCATGCCATCTTTCGGTATGAGTCCAGTACCCTCAAAGTTCAAGGCTATCCTCCAGAATGTGCAGTCTCTGAATATGTCCCTTGCGATTCCACAGAACCACTGGAGGTTGTGGAGAATTTCACACGCCGCGGTAGATGCAATAACTCTGACGTAAGTGTGTGGTGAAATCAGTTTACGAATCTTCAAGGCCCGGATCGAGTTTGCTAATTTGCGTAAAAATGCATATCACTGGGTATAAAGAGTCGCATGTACCAGGCTACAACAAGGGCTGTGGTGGTTGTGTGGTTGCGAAACATGGGCTCGGTGGACAGATGATTTGAGACGTCTTCAGGATTTATATCCATCGATGCCGCAGAAGCGTCGTTGGTGTCGAATGACGTCAACGAATGTGTAACGAGGTAACTAGAAGACGAGTATTTTTGCAGTGGTTCAATCACTGAAAATATCCAGCACCGTCAAGTACTGTGGCTGTGAGATGCCCGCAGTTATCCCTGCATTCTGCAGGGAAATAAGAAGTCGGACGTCATGTCGTATTTCTTTTGCTATCATGTGCCTCTCCAAACAGGTTGAACACTGATAGATATGGTTAAGATTGTCATGCTCACTCTTCTTCCCCTCTTTCAGCTTCTTTCAGATATCCGTTCTCAACCACCAGCCACATCTGTTCGTTCAACAAATGGCAGATGACCCCCCATATAAGCCTCCCTTTGTGTTTCCCGATATATGGGAGGACGATGATGCGATGTTTTCTCTTATGCAGCCAATAAAACGTCCAAAACACGTCGATCCCGAGACTTATAATCGTAAAGTCGATTTCTGGAGCGCGCTTGTTTTGAGATACACAAAGGAACAGCGGGTTTTACTTGTCAGTATCCGAGCTTTACAGTCAGTCTTCTCACGCGATTTCGTAGAAGAGGGTATTACACTGAGTCCGGCTTGTTTGGATGCAGTCTTTGATAAGTTACAAGCCGCGGGCCAAGCAAAACCATACACTGAAGATGTCAGTCTTGTGTACTCCATCCTCAAGACGGGTATCAATTACATGCTGAAGATCCCGGCATCATTGGCTATGCAGTATGCTTTTGGGTAAGTGCGATTTCTAGCTAACTTTCTTTAAGGCAGTCTCTGGGAACTGATGCCTCGAAAGTTGACGTGGATGATTTATTCGTTTTTGAGCAGCTAGCTCAGGAACTCATAGGAGATTTTATATCTTATTTCAACAAGACCAGATGTCACAAAAGGTTGACACTGAGACTTCCCGCATACGAATACGATGAGTTTGAATCCGCCTTGGCTGAATTCTTCTCACACGAAGCATCTCGGGACTTTGTGAGGAAATATTCGATGAATTCAATGAACTTAGTGAAGGTTGATAGAGTGTGCGACGCGTCCAACAGTTGGGAGTCTAAAGTAAGTCCATCTATTAGGTCACGGTTCCCAAAGCTACGTAGAGGTAAACTTTATAAGATGTTTCGCTTGTTTCGCGAAATTAATCGTAATTTGTTTGGGCTGGGATTTACTTTGTTCCTGATCCTCTCCCCTAGGGCTTATAACACATGGTATGCACACTTCCTATTTTTCAACAAAAAGTCGCGAATGTATAGCTGACCATTTCAATGCTGATGTCTATTCCAGCTAAACATGTGGGTAACATAAAATCGTGGCTAAGCGGTCCCCTAGGTCTCAGGTCCTAACCTGCGATAAATGTAGTTGTTTTCAGTTCGTCTTGTTTTCCGTGGAGATTCACGACAAAGACGTTAAACGAATTCGTGTAAGTACAGCAAATGCCCCGTTAGGTAAGAAACAGAGCTTTTAAACAGGAGCAAAGACTACGATATATGACGTCGTCGGTGAATCTTCACACAAGTAATTCGACTGGACCCTTAATCATAAGACATTCGTCGCTGGACTCCATGACACTCCGGCTCCTCTGAATAAGGCGCTTGTTCTAATCATTAAATTGATCAAGTACGTTGAGTCAAAGTCTTCCTATAGTTGTCTCAGTGGATCCTTCATAAAGAAGAACCACGGTTCAGTTATTCTTATATTACTTCGAGCTGGTTATCGCAAGTTAGTCGTAACACTCCAGTCTCTGTTTTATGAAGGAAGCGTTAGCAACTAGTTGTTTCCTAACCTTCTGCCGATGATCCCCATGTTTCATAAAAGAAAATGCACATTCTGCAGCTTCACCTATATTGAGACGATACAAGTAATGAACCTTTCATCGACAGGTAAAGGTCATATCGCACATATCGCCTCCATTTCTTCGCTAATCGACCTCCGGGCACTATCATCATATCAGATTGACCGATCACTAACAACCCCCCGCCGTACTAGCAACAACTGCATTTTCAATGTTTAAGCAGTTCGTTCAACAATAATAGAAAAACCGTTCAGCTGTAGCATCCTTTCGGTACCTAGCTGTCGTACGACCCAAAGGAAGCACGAGGGCTGGAATATTGCCAGGTTGCTCAAGGCCAGACAGGGGAAGTCGAGAGCCAGAGGTCGGGTTCAAACCACGGACCTCCTGGTCAGTAAATTCGCGCTCTAACCACTGAGCCATTCCGCCCCCATTCAACAACAGGTGATTTGAGAGCTGCCTTTTACTTGAATGCTTATTCAGTGGATATCTAGCATTGTTCAAGTCACTCAGTCTACCCAGTTGCAAAATAGTTGGAACATAGTCTGTTTGTTAATGAGGCGTAACTAATACATTCTAATCGCAACACATTCGTGAAGCAAGGTTTTACTTTTCCAAATCGGTGAACGAAGCTGCGGCAGCTGGAACCACTGTACGGCAAACATGTGGTTTTTATGCCTGTTGATGATGACGTTTTCAACCTGTTATTGCACTGTCATTGCGCCCCTTAACGGCTGCTGTTCTGCCCACCTATACGTCTGTCTTCCACCGCCGTCAAATGTTCCATAGACAACCACAGACCAGCTTAATTTTGAAGACAATGTCCAGTTCATGTTATCGTAAGCCGAGGCAAGTAGTCGAAATCGTCTCTCCTGGAGGTAGAGCGTGCTTATAAATTATTACACGCCGGATATCCAGTTTTGCTCTCATGAAAGCGACCGTCAGCGCAATCTTCATACACATCCGCGGACCGGTTTCCGGTAGCCACGTTTGCAACATGCAGTGCCATTTTCACTCTTAAATGTGATATCGTTGCAGGTAACTCACGTGAAATGCCTATCAGTCCGTGTATATCTGAATAGTAGCAGCGCTTTTACTTTTATTTGTATCCATAATTCACCCTGGCTTTGTTATTTGTTCACAGATTGTGTGGGTGTCCGAGACTCTCCAGGCCACAGTCCCTTATGATCCAAAGAATAAAACTGCGTTGGCCGTACTGACTGGTCTGGCTCACCTGAAATCGATCATCAGGCGCCATGAAGTCGAGGAGCAAACTCTTCTCCATGAAATTGAGGTTCGCCGCAATGTGCTCAAGAAACTTGTGGCCGAGAAGAAGTTAGTGAAGTTTATTTTTGCGTTGGTATTGTGCCTTCATACCAGCAACTAAGTTTTCTATTTGAACACTGTTGTCCTTCTGGGTGATATCTTCAGTGACGCAAATCGGTTACTGAAGCATGTACAGGATTTCCAAGCCAACGATGAAAGGTAGTGGCATGACCAATAACCGTCGAATATTGATGCTAGCTGTATTTCGGGATGCGTAGTGATGATAGTGTTGAGAATATCAAATGGCGGTTGAAAGTGAACTGAAACTAAAGAAAAGTAAGGGTGTCCCATTGTTGACTTATTTGAAGCGAGAAATTCTTTCAGCATATCAACTTCCCGAGCTTGCTTCAGTTGGTGTCATCAAAGATAATTCCTGTGGATGAGTCAAGAACTCATTAGTGGAGGGGGAGCTGTTGTTTGAACACGTAATTGGCTGTAGTTCTTCATCGTAATGTTGATTAAGTTTTCAGTGGAACCACGTATCTTATTTGTTTTATTTCGGTTGACTGTTCACCACTCCTTACCTCTAAGTGTTGGAGGAGAACTATAATGGATCAATAGAACAGTGCGTTGGGCAAGATGGACAAAGTGGTTAGAGCGCGAATTTACTGACCGGAAGGTCCGTGATTCGAACCCGATCTCTGGCTCTCGACTTCCCCTGCCTAGGCTTGGGCGACCTGGCAATATCCCAGCCCTCGTTCTTCCTTTGTGTGGCGTGGCAGCTAGGCACCGAAAGAGTGCTACAGATGAACGATTAGAACAGTGCGTAAACGTGCTTTTGTTCGTTCGGTCGTGGCACCGTTTTGATGCGTAGCTACTGTGCAACTTGAACGAAGCACGAGGACTGAAATACTGCCAAGTCACTCAACCCTAGATAAAACAATCCGAAAATCTAGGGTTGGGTTCAAACCAATAACCTTCCACTGAATGGTCTCAAGCTCGGTGCGCTGTTATCGCGAGAGACAATTAACATGCCCGAACATGTTAAATGGAACACAACGTTGAGGTCGTGTTTTTTTTCTTCCAGGAGATCCTGACTAAGCGCTGAGCTTAACCTTAGTTTGGTGAATAGGGCTTGCATACGTTTAAAATAGCGTTGGGTTCAGACCTCAAACCAGTTGTTGACAAGTTGTGGGCTATGTATGATCGTGTAGCTCTGCTTCAGTTGATGGGGAGCGCATTCTCCGTCCGACACTTGTAATATACGTTCACGTGTGGGCTTAGCTCCTTCAACCTCCATAGCATTGGTTAACTGAACTTATGAGACGTATACAGCTTTGGCACATTGCCTTATTTGCTGAGGAATACATTTTCCTCACAACTTTGGTAACGCGCTCATGGGTTGTCTAGTCACTGCTGGTGGGGTGTCCGCTTGCATACTAATTGAAGTGAACAAAAAATCTCAATGGAAATTTGTACCCCCTAACTAAGTTCATCGTGCAGAGACTGCTTGTTCATCCATCTAGGCCGCAGTAGTGGGTGTAGAGTGGAATCTTATTCCCTTGAAAAACTCATTATGAAGTTGCTCAAACGCAAATGATAGCCATTTTTCACACATTTTTGAGGATAATATTTAATTATTTGGCTGGTTAGTGGAAAATTACTTCGCAAGGGCAACGCGAGTGGAATTTTCTCGGAGATCCTTTCGTCAACCAGTAATAGCCCCTCAGAAAGTAGGCAAAGAGCGGCCCTTGTCAATGTTGTCCATTGGTGAGACTACCTTAATCGATAATGACCGTGGTCGTTGAAATTCTCTCTTCTAGTCGGTTTTTCTTAATGATTCACTGGGTCAATGGATGACTTGTTTGTTTGGTATGCATTAGATAGTCGTCGAAAACTCATATAATTCCGACGACATCCGCCTCCGTGTTCGTACCAACTTTTGACCCGCAATTTGTTCGGCTTCTCGTACGAAGCATCCAGTTGTTGGAATTTACAAATTACGCTCGACACTAAGCTATTAGTGATCCTCATTTAAGATGGCATTTTTATTTAGTATCAGAACAATACCAGGGTTACCTTCAATCTTTTTTTACATCAGTAGCCTTCCAAACCACATTGTATTTATCCATTTGTGCCTCAACTATTCAACTTATCCTATCTAGGTTGCGTGAGGCGAAGAATCTACTCCGGCGAACGAAAGTACTGGAGCAGAACTTGGAGAAGAAACAATGTCAGTTACATAACCTGGAAGCTATGCAGTTGGAGCTTGAATCCGCTTCCGACAATCAGCAAGTGATACATGTTCTGAAAGACTCGGGTCGGGCTTTACAACAGCTTACTGGAGGTGACAAGGGCCTAGCCGCTGTTGAAGATGCCATGAGTGAGGTTGCTGAGAGTGTTCAAGAGAGTAATGAGGTAAGTGTAACTACAAGCAGCGCAGCGACTGATGCATTTCAGTGCTTCGACCTTAGATGAAGCTACGATTTTAAGCGCAGTCCATATAAATGCAAACATATTCAACAACAGAACTAATCGCTTTGTTTGCATCATCTGGGGGTTTTGATCGGTCTTCCCCTCTGAAAATGTAGAGTGCTTTACAAATGCTTGTTACCTCTTGGATCTTTGTTTGATCTGGACAAGTAACTTGGAAAAAACAAAAGATCAAACGACACTTGAAGTTGTGGTCAAAACAGCACAATTCCTCCCTTGTCTATATTCTGTATTCTTTTTTTCAATTGCGTTACAGCTTTTAGTCTCCATATATATAGTTGATTTCTTGCATTGGTAGCTTTTGACCCTATCTTTCTTCGAGAGAACTCATGCGCCTATCACTGGGCATTCCAATGGCCAGCCAGTATGGCGCTATCTGTACACTTGGCCACCTGGAAGTTTTCCATAAAAAGCATCTTTGGCATCATCTTTGCTGGAGTTTGTTGGGCCGTGTGCAGAGATAATCAGATATCTGTTTCGTAACCGCTGGTTCGATCCTGACACCCATCCGGTCCAGCCAACTCTGGTTGCGTACAGTCGGCTGTTCACACGAATCCAGTCAAGCATGGCGTCTTTAGTTCCAACTTTCAACACAATACCCACATCATTGAAACTACGCGAAGCCGAATTAGCTTCACTTCTCCGGATCTTGTTCAGATGTATTATTGTACTAGGCTCCTGTATGTGTATTTCGGGAGCATAGTTCATATCGGTTTTTTTTAAGAAAGAGATATGGGCAAGGGAGGCGTGTTCACTTATCTGACAAAGTGCAAACATTAAAATTTGCTACCTTGAACAAGTCCCTTTATGTGACCGCTGTCTGTTTTGGCTTTATTTTTATGAGCACATGGCTAGGAGTCGCTAAAATAACAAAACTACAAACAGGCCTAGATCGTGTTCGTTAGTAAGTAGAGTTGGTTCTGGAGAGAAGGAGACAGGGCGCTGTTTCTAAGCCGTCTCAGCTGTGTTTATTACGTCAGTTCCACGTGGTCTACTTAGTTTTTGTGCTTTACTAGCTATTTTCCTAGATAAATATATGGGAGCATCGCAGGACATTTGTTTAACCGATTTCAGCTGCTTGTCATTTTACTCGTATGTTAATGGAGAGCAACTCCCTTGTATCATCTGGTAGGACATATGTGGTCTGTCTCATTGAGCATGGTCGAGCAAATTGGGTCGCTTAGTTTACCTGTTGCTACTGGTGCCAGCGCTGCACAGATGCGTAGATGAGAGCTAAAAACCGAATACGCTAATCCAGTCAGAAAAAAACCCTCAATGGCTCATGGCAAAATTCCACATCTACCTTGCCCAGGAAGGTCTAATTCTCTCTCTTGCAGGCATTCTTCTGGTTTGATGTTGTGTCTATAAAATGGGCAATGGTCACCCAAGCGAGCCGCCAATATTTCAACACGTTTGGCAAATCGATCTTTTAGGAGCACGGTTCATTTTCCAAATAGTCTATTGAGGAGAGTCTTCTAGACTTCAAAGTGTGCTAGAGGCGCTGTTGGAGTTACCATTGCAGTCCTTGGATCCAGAAGGTGGTCTCATCCACGGTATGTCGCTGTTGATGCGGTAACATAGGGACTATGTTGCTCAGACAAGCTTCAGCTGTCAGAGTCTGTGGGAAGACCGTAGAAGTAGAGCTGCGCCTGTGCTTCTTATCTCGTAATAGCGGGCCTAAGTTCAGTTCTCTGGATGATCCTCCCATGCTGAACTTCTCAGCCTGAGAACAATAAAATAAAGCACAAAGTGTGTTAAACACCTAAAACCTGACCAGAAATATGTACAGCGCTGCACCGGTGCGACTCTCATGCAGTATCCATGTGTTTGAATCCTCCGTGACGTTGGTCATTTGCCGGTTCGCTCCACTGCATATGTGAAGTGCTGGTATAAAATTTCGACTGGTCTGTTACTGCATCTCTGCATTCGAAAGGGTTTTCAATGAGGTTTTGATGTTTTCTTTGCATCGCTTGTCATTTCTGTCAGTCTTGAATATCGTCGCAACTAGCAATGAAATATATCTTCAGAATGAAGTATTAAATTTCATTTCGCTTGAGTTACTGTCTATGCTGAGGTTTCGCATGTTGATCTTCGATAAATTCCGTGACGAAAGTATAAGAGTAGCCGTTTTTTATATACGTCTTCTCTAAAACGGAGTAGTGAAATTTTCCGATCAGAATTGGCCGACTGAGACAGACAGCAACTCGAGTTCACCATTCAACTTAAGTGATCAGCATGCAGGAGAAAAATCAAGCAATTATGGTGCAAATGCAGGACTCTCATGCTACTTTTCAGTAGAGGATATGTTGGAGCATTGTGCGACAATTTTGTCTCCGAAGCTCTGTACAACACTTTAGCATACTTTAACCGTCTGGTTGATTGACATCTTGACTGACAGGTGATTTTTTTTACCATGTTAGCACAACCGCCCACTCAGTTTCGCAGTTCGAGATATATATATTTGGCGTGCTGTTGCGTTCTGTTTGTCACCAATCAGGTTAGCCTACAAACCATAATTTGCTCACCCAGCAGCAACATGGTAGGAAGCAGAAGCTAGCTCGTGGTCGGACAGGTGAAAAGAATTGTTCAAATGCCCGGATACACACATCGGAAGTTTTACATTTCATCATTTGTTTCCAGCTGACTCGTTCTCGCAAGCCAGTACAGAGGGTCCGTTGATATTTCAGTAGTGGTCCAGCCTTGAGTACTCCTTGTCTTGTTCACGTATAAAGCATTGTCTCCAACCATATATATATATATATATATAT